AAAAAAAAAAAAAAAAAAAAAAAAAAAAAAAAAAAAAAAAAAAAAACCCTACACTAGAATGTCACTATAATAAATATTTAATAATAATGGTGTGGAGAGGATGGCTGTAAGGGGAGAAGGGAGGCCATCACAAAAAAAAAAAAAAAAAAAAAAAAAAAAAAAAAAAAAAAAAAAAAAAAATCTTACTTCTAACCTACAAAGCTCTCAACAACCTAGCTCCATCTTATATTCGAGATCTTATTGTTCCATATTTTCCTAACAGAGCCCTTTGTTCTCAAAGACTGCAGGCTTACTCGCGGTCCCTAGAGTTTCCAAAGGTAGAATGAGAGGATCTTTCAGTTATCAGGTTCCTCTCTTGTGGAACCAACTTCCAGTTTCATTCCATAAGGCTGACACATTGTTCAGTTTTAAGACTGGGCTTAAGACTTTCCTTTTTGATAAATCCTATAATTAAGGTTGGCTTTTTATGCTGCCTTAAGCCTAGACTACTAGAAGACAAATTGACCTCATTCCCTTAAATGAATTGTTAAAATTGAATAGTTTTCATTTGGTACTATTTCTATCTTAACATGTGTTTCTTGTTCCGTGTATCTATTCCTACCCAACCCAGCTGGTCGAAGCAGATGGCTGCTTGTCCTGAGCCTGGTCCTGCTAAAGTTTTCTTCTTCATGAGGGAATTTTTCCTTTCTGCTGTCACCTTCATGCTTGCTCAAGAAGAGTGTTCTGTGATGGAGTTAAATTCCAAGCAGTCTGCTCCACAGATAGTGTTAAATTATTATTTTATGAATGTTGTTGTTAACTTATTATTTTTATATATGGATGTTTCTGTTCAGTGCCCTGAGATGAATTCATTTGTGACTTGGCACTATATAAATAAACTGAATTGAATTTAATTGAATTCATTCAACCTTTATTTATACAGGTTAGTCTCAATGAGCCTTGAGGACTCATTTACAAGAAAGTTTATGCCTAGATGTTGCCTCACACCAAAATGGAGGTCACCTCTTTTATGTTTTAAGTTATCATGCTCATAACATGGTCAGACATTTATGGCAGCAACCATCTTGGATTTTGATGTGGTAACCCAATTTTTGAAAGGAACCTAGATGTAGTCACTCACCAAAATGGAAGTTGATGGCTCATTTGTATTTTAAGTTATGCTCATAACATTAGATTAGATTAGATTAGATTAGATTAGATTAGATTAGATTAGATTAGATTAGATTAGAACTGTATTGATCCCTTGGGAAGATTCCTTCAGGGAAATAAAATTCCAGCAGCATTATACAGGTGATAGAAGAAAAAGGGACAGTAGCAGCACAGTGGGAAAATGTGACAGTTACTGGCTATTTTAAGGTGGTGGTGGTGGTGGTGTTGGTGGCTGCTGAACCTTCCCATCCTCTGTCCTCCTGTTACCCCCATTCTTTCTCAGTGAGGCATTGTACAATCTGTTAGCATGAGTGACAAAGGACTTTTTCAGTCTGTTAGTCCTGCACTTGCTTCCCTCATGCAGCGTTTCAACTCAGGCTGTGCTGCCTTTATCGTCTCCTTGTCTCTCTTCCTGAAGGATAGCTTCACACATTACCCATGGTTTGTTATTAGGATAATAGTGTACAGTCTTAGCATGGGGAGACCATGTTTGCACAGAAGTTAAGATAATCCATCAGACAATGCGTTATCCCCTCTATGTTCTCAGTTTGGGTTAATCAACTCAATCCAGACTGTATTGTCTGAACTCAGGTTGTGATCAGACTTCCCTAGAGATGGAAAAGGTGTGACTATGTATGCATCCCTCACATTAACATACATTGTCAATTTTACCCTTGTTTCTTGTTGGACTTTCCACAACCTGGTGAAAAGCAGCCAAAATCCAAAGTGCATGATTAAAGTCCCAATAAATGACCATATGTGCATCAGGGTGCTGTATTTGCAGCCTTGCTGTGACATAGTGGATCTTCTCACATGCACCATCTACAACCGATCTTGGAGAGATGCAAACGTAGATAGTGATCATGAGACTAAACTCTCCCATGAAATAGCATAACTGCAAGAAAACGGCTAGCACATAGAGGTCCCAACAACACAAGACCAATTTTCTGGAGATATTACCTGGGTTACACATGATTGTTAAAGTATATGCTGAGTCCTCCATCTTTGCTTTTCCCAAACACTTTAAGGGCCCGGCATGCTCCATTTGAAGTGCCAAAATTGGCTCTCATTGTCGTATTTGCGTGACAAAAATTGCATCATTGTTGTTTTTGCTTTTAATCTTGTTTATATTTGCTTTACCTGGAGGACTGAGAATCTTCATCTGCTTCAAAAAATATGTTTAAAGAAAATCAAATGGCAAGAAACTCATAAATTCAAGATTTTCCTGCTCATCCAACATTATTTCCTTCTTCTCCTTGCTTGTGAAATCATACATGTTCATTGCTGCTATAACCACACCATTTATTTTGTCAGAAAACCACACCCATATATGCTTTGGGACGTGCTGTATACTGCAGCAGGGTGGTTTTCCCAGGGGCTCTGCAAATGTATCTCATGGACTAAGAAAGGTGTGAGCAAAAACGAACGTCCTGCAACCACCTGATGACTCATTGACTGTTCAGCTTTGGATGGAGTAGGCTTGGCTGTTTAGTGTCTCTGTCGGCTCTTACATCAGTGAATCCCATCCGATCCACATTAGTGTTTAGTACAAGATGAGTGAGCCATGTCTTCGTAAAGATAAACCAGCAATTCTCATGGTAAATTTGCTGGGTCTTTAGTGTGGACATCTTGTCGATCGTGTTCGGCAGAAAGTTCCAATTCCCATTGCTTATCGACAGAACTGATGGTCTGTAGCTCCTTCAGTTGTTCTCTTGCTTTGCCTTTGGCAAAGCCCCAGCCTTGCAGCACCTGGGTCTCCTCATAATCTCTGCTGGGATGGGGTGTCATATCCCAGCTCATACTATTGTTTTCAGAGCCAGCAGCTCCCCTATTGAAGTGAAAAACTGGCTCCTGGTTGTATTAAAATATGTTAAAAAGTATCACACACAATTTAAAAGTTGGGAAAAGTATAACAAAGGATTAAAAGAGCTGGGGAAAAAAACTGAAACAACACTAAAAACTGGAGAGCTACTGGAGTGGCAGCCGTCTCCCAACGTGCCAGCGGTCAACCTATGCCAACGGTGAATGATCAACATGCACAGACGGATGGAGGGTATTTCCAACTCCCCCTTTATGCTCCGCAATGGGGGCCAAAATGATGGATCTCCACACCATGCTACGCATTAATAATGAGAGAAACTGCACTCACTGCTGATTCTAAGTCACAGAACTCTGCTGGATGAGGCTGTGGAGGGATTTTTTTTCCATGCGGCCACAGCTGACAGCTTTAGTGACAGTACGATTACTTTCACTTCCATGAACGGCGCACTGTTGGTGCTGTTAATGTTAATGTTGACCAAACCCAGTTCGTCTTTGAAACACCATCAATAATTTTCTGAAAATTCTTACAGCAGTGGTATGTCCTTCCAGAAGTATCTGGTCCAGTAGGTCTTCTCAAAAGCAGCCACTTTAAAAAAATGAAATAAAGTTGAACTGAGTCGGAACATTAACTGCCAGAGACATCAGACAGTTTTCCTTAATCAAAAGTTTAATAAATTTCTAACTCCAAACTATCCATCCTTCTTCCAGTAGACATATCTGACATGATTGTCAGTGACTTCATTTAATGCAGCTATGATGCACTCTGTTACTCTCTCAGATTTGGTGAAAGGCTGCTAAGGAACCACACCACACAAGAGTAAAGCTGCTCTTTGTTAACTTGAGAAGGCCCTGTTGAAAACTAGGCCACACTCATAGTTTTCAGTGGACATATCTAGTACTGGTAATACCATATGTAATCCTTTGCAGCATTACTACACTTGTTGAAAAGCAGACTTATTGGCTTGGTGTTTATATTTAATGGCTTGCCAAAAACTAAGTTTACAGGTCTGTTCCTAATAAAATCTGATAAATTGTACTATTTTCTTATGCGAATTTGGACATGGTGAATAAAGCTAAAGTCAGTTTGTGGGCAGGCAAATGCAAAAGTTTTAATTGGAACATGGTCATGAAATCATCAGTCATTACATAAGCCTAATGTTAATGTTGTGATTATGTCTGGTATACTAACACATGACTCATCCTTTTCTCTTTAAACATGTTTAGTTCAAACAATCTTATCACTTTTTGTCTCCCTCTCAAGGTAATGTGTTTGTTGTGAGTCTGGCATTTGCTGACCTTGTGGTAGCCTTCTATCCGTATCCTTTGGTACTCTACGCTCTCTTCCATGACGGTTGGGCTCTTGGAAACACACAATGCATGGTAAAACCCCATCAGTCAATGTCTGTATTTATCATAACTGAAATGTCATTAGTCACACATTGTCCAACACAGACTGACACAAATGCTTCATTTTTCTTTTTGTCTTTTCCTAGGTCAGTGGCTTTCTGATGGGGCTGAGCGTTATTGGGTCCATCTTCAACATCACTGGGATTGCTGTGAACAGATACTGCTATATCTGTCACTCGTTTTCTTACAGCCGGCTGTACAGTTATCGCAACACTTTATTGTTTGTTGCTTTAATTTGGGTGCTTACTATTGTGGCCATTGTCCCAAATTTCTTTGTTGGTTCTTTACGCTACGACCCAAGGGTCTACTCCTGCACCTTCGCCCAGAACGTCAGCAGTTCCTACACAGTGGCAGTAGTGGTTGTTCACTTTCTGGTACCAATTGCGGTGGTTACATTTTGTTATCTCCGCATTTGGGTTCTTGTTATTCAGGTGAGTTCCCTGATTCTCTCCATAGAAATCTTTTTAAATGGTCAAATAAAAAAAAGGCACCAACTAATTAGGATTACGCAATGTCCATTTTAATAAAATTCCTCATTCTATATCCTGGTACACAGAGTTACTGTTTGCCTACAATGTATTGTAATGTTGTCTTATTGTATGTAGTTTAAGGCATTTTAGGGTTTCTTGCACATTTGTAACCTTAATTTCTGTCCTGGTTTTGAGTCTTTGTTCTGGAGCTTTTACACCGCATGATAGGCAGCAAAAATATTTGTACAAGAAGTACATTCTTTATACACAAAACAAAATACTAAATAATACAGAACCCCATTCAAATGAGAAAGAAGACAACATTGTTTTTCAAGTTTTGTAATTCTGTCTCTAAACAAATAAACTTATTTACAGTTGTACAAAATCTTAAATTGTACAATACTTTTACTCACAGTATTGCAATATTTTGTCAGTGAAATTGTCACTGAAATTTTTTGACACGTAGATTTAGTAACACGAAAGGGTTAGGGTTAGTTTTGGCCTGTGATTCCAGCTAACAGTTTTAGAAGGCAGGAAGATGGAACATATTCTCTTAAGATTACATAAGTGGGTCTTTGCTTATTCAATATTTTCTCTTTATGTCTAAATGTACGTTAAATGCTGAGGTAGTCAATAAGGCCTGATCGCAATCTAATGTCTGTCTTCTACATTTGCTAATTTCTGTCCAGGTGCGTCGTAAGGTAAAGAATGAAGACAGCCCTCGCATCAGACCAAGTGATATGCGAAATTTCATCACAATGTTTGTAGTATTTGTGCTGTTCGCCATATGCTGGGCCCCGCTGAACCTTATAGGTTTGGCTGTGGCTATAGATCCTACTCACGTGGCTCCTCGCATCCCTGAGTGGCTTTTTGTTGTGAGCTACTTCATGGCCTACTTTAACAGCTGTCTGAATGCCATCATATATGGTTTACTCAACAGGAACTTCAGGAATGAATACAAACTCATTGTCACCTCAGTCTGGGTGACGCGGCTTTTTGTGACTGAGACGTCGCGAGCTGCTACAGACGGTAGGAGCATGAGGAGCAAGCAGTCACCACCTCCTCCTCACAACAACAATGAGTCAATTAGAGATAGAGTAAATCAGGAATGACTCTTGGAATTTTTTTAGCTTATCAAATTGCAAGTCCTGTTTTTATGCGATATCCAGCCAGTTGTGCAGCTAAGGAGTAACAAGTGATAAGTGAAACTGGAAAACATGGCTACGTTTTCTACTAAAGAGCTGAAAAAATAAGCACTAATAAATTGTATATGAAAGCTTTTGAACATTTAAAAAATGTTTCATGCATTAGCTCAATTATTTTTACAAATAATGATTTTTTTATATTTATTTTTAATAGGTGGTTTTTGCAGCAACAAAGCTGAGAAGTTACATTTAGAGAAAACCAAGCTATGCATTGCAGTTTCATACTGTTGTTATTACTCTAACAATCTGAATGGTACTTTGAAATGCCAATGAAAATGTAACATCCTTTAATGTCTCCTGCTGAAGACTTTGACATAACTGGGTGACTGCTACTAAATACACACCTCTACTTAGTAACGTCAAAAGCCTCAAATAGTTGATCTTGCCTCACACAAATGCCATAGGTTAGTGAAGGAGCATTATATATTAGATATTTACATGGTGGTTGTAATGTGGTAAGATTTACACACCAAGACTGAATGGTGCAGTAGCATGAATTTTATACTGCCTAGTCAGACCTTTTTGCACTGAAAATAACAAGTAACAAAATAGTAATAAATGTCAGTATCGTAATTCACTTACATTTCATGCAAATCAAGTCAAATCTAGATCCAAATCATGTCTCATGATTATTTTTGTTTTTGATTTTAAAAGTTGTGTCTGTGATGTAGCACACAGAGGACACCTACATACTGTGACTGCTGCTGCTGCTATTTCCAGCAGTCTACACGTTATGCATTCTAGAGGTTTTTTATGATGTAACTGTGCTGCAGTGTGAACCTAAATAATAAGTTAAGGAATATATTTTAACAAGTGATGTAGACAGGATGAAAAGGGGGTAGCAACTTGGTTTATTTACTCAAGTACAAGATTTACTAAAACAAAAGGATATTTTTATATTTTTTGTGGAGCTAACTGAGAAATTTTAGCAGTACACTGATATTCTAAGGCATTGATTTTTGAGTATTCAAAGCCTAGATTTAAAAAAAATATATATATATACCCACTAATATTTACATAGTTTCCTGTGTTTCTGTAGTTGTGAGGCTTGCAAGTTCCAACCGTGTAGACATGGTCACTTTTTAAGCGAAAGCATGAAACAGACCCAAATCATAAAGCGGCAGCTGATGTTAGTGCCTGTTAAGACTGCTTTTTCTACTTTTAAACAGCATGTTTTGCTGACATTTGTTTTGTTATGTCATGTAGACTCTCATGATTTAAAGAAAAAATGATTATGCATTATGATAATCATGAATTGTTTCAAGTTGGAGAGGTGGCTTGAAGATACACAAAGTAGGTGCGGCTCAAATATACACATACATACATACATACATACATACATACATACATACATACATACATACATATATATATATATATATATATATATATACATATATACATATACACTTTTGTTATCCAACAAGGGTGAAGAATGCTTTTGCTTAAAATGTACATCCCTATTATATAAAGTAAGTATAGTACTTGGGCTTTTGAGCAGTTAGACTACAGAATCTGTTGCTGTTGTGCAATTTTGAGGCTGTAGATTTGAGCCCACGTAGACTTGACTATCATCCAGCATGAAAACAATTGCCAAATCTTTTATGCAAGTTCACTTGCTGTGGTGACCCCTGCAGAAGGGAACAGTTGAAATAAAAACATCAACAACTTGCCCGTTTAATTTTAGCTTTAAAAGTTGTTAGGTTTAATTTGAAATTTTAGAGTGACTTTATGACAGGTCCCTCTTAGCTGTGCTTCAGTCCTGCCTCCAAACTTCCTCTGGGACGATGAAGGATTGTCATGTCCGTGAAAGACCAGTAACAATGGTAAAAATAAATAATAAATAGAGAAAATATTTTCACTGCCAAATGCAATATGAATGCTGATTGCTGAATAGTTTCCATCCATCCATCCATTATCTTTACCCGTTTGTTCCATTTTGGGTCACGGGGGTCACCGGTGCCCATGTCCAGCAATCACTGTGCGAGGGGCGGGGTACACCCTGGACGGGTAGCAAGTCCATCGCAGGGCCTGCTGAATAGTTTCTTTTTTGTAAACCTAGTTTTATTGAAATCCATCAATAGCTAAAAATTTGAAAGATAAATGTGCAATAAGCACAAAAAATGCAGAAAAGGGTTGAAATTAGTTGAACAAAAGCTAAAATTTGCAGAAGAGCAATTAAAGAAAAAAGTGCTAGCTAAGAAAGCCAGGTGTAACAAAACATAGCAGGAAAAACGTAGCTTAGAAAATAAAAAATGAAATTATATCAATAAATAAAGAAAAGACTAGTCTGAATCCATGAGTAGCAAAACGCTAACCAAAAAGCTAACTTAGAGGTAGAAATAGCGAAATGCTATCAAAACAGGAAAATGCTAGGTAAGAGCCAGAAAAAGTAAAATGCATGCTTAACAGCATTCACACAATTAAAGTATAAGCTCATCCTGGTTATTATTTAATAATTTTATTTAAACATCAGGGGTGGGGGGTTCTTGCAAATTCAAAACCACTGAGGACTTTTTTCTGTCTTTTTTTATTTTTATGAAAACGTTGGTTACGTACTGTAACCCCAGATTCTATGAGTATAGGCGTAGCCCTTTAAGACTTTCGCTAGTGGGTTTAAATGAAAACAGGAGACCTTCTAAAAGAACTACTTGCACCAGACACCAAAGAGTAGGGCACGACCAAGAGACTTCACACAAAAATAGCTGAAATCTGCTGGGATGTCAACTATTGATAAAATTTAAATGAACATCTACCATACTTGCCACTGTACACGTTGCACCACCGTATAAGTCGCATCAGTCCAAATATGTCTAAGAAAGTGGAAAAAAAAACATAAATACATCGCTTCACCATATAAGTTGCATCTATTATGCCTCACCGCAGATGCATCGCGTTTGTTATGCGTCACCGCTGACAACCCAGAAACGTGGGCCGGTGTTGTGGCAAAAATTGATTGATTGCCAAATGGCGGATGCAGGAGCGTGAACAGGAGGACTTTCACAAGAATGTAACCAGATTAACACTTAAAAACAATTATTTGTTTGCTTGAAATTATAGCAAAAGTGTGTCTCAGTTGAACTTTTCCTTAATAAATGAACTTTGACCATCAAATCAGCTGCATTTCAAAAGCCAATTCGCGGAAACAAGAGCGCAGAGGGACGACTCGCTGTGCATTTCTTCGAAATTTAACAAGTTAACCACCTAAAAGCAAGTGTTTGCTCGACATTATAGCAAAGGTTTGTCTCAGTTGAACTTTTCCTTAATAAATGCACTTTAATGGTCAAATCAGCTGCGTTTCGCCTGGACGGCACAGCGAAATGCAGCAGATTTGATGTTTGCTCCAGGAGTTCTGGAGAAAGACGACAGTGGCTTAGTATGGCAAGCCAATGTCTCTTTAATAGTCACTTTTACCTAGTGTGTCTCTTTATGCACAGAAACACATTGCCATGCAATTCAAAACAGATTGTGTCACAGATCAAGATATCAAATAGCATTCACATCAGAATATTATATTGATATATATGATTCATATATATAATGATTTCCTATCTACAAGAAAAGCAGGTCAGAATTTTTTTAGTACTTTGTACATGAAGAACAACCCAAGCAAATTTAAATAAGTCAAACTGACAGTAGACTGGGTTCCTCTGCGTCCTACATCATACTACACAGACGTCTTTTCAATAGGGGAATCATATTTTACGATCTAAAATACTTTTGCAAAACTTGAGTTTTTCTTTTCTTCATTGTTTTATCTAATCGATGTTTATTTATGTTAAAGATTTAAATGACTTGGGCTGCATTTTAATGCTTTCACTGTGGAATAAAATTCAAGACAGAACAAGCTGTACAGCAAAGAACATGTAAAGCATACTTATGTATCTTGTTTGTATTTTATTATTTTAAAAAGTGACATTCATTGCCACCTTACCAAAAAGTGTTTTGTACAATGTCAATTGTTGAGAGCTTACAGCTCATATCTGTATCCCCATCTCAGGGTGCCTATTGAACATTTTGTCGTGAAAGACTGTACACTTGTTCAGAACATTTGCAGTTGAATAACTGCCGATAATGGAGTCTGAAGATGTTTCAAAGAGATATTTTGTCAATTATTGCCAGTGTGGTTTTTAACTGTGGTTAATTGTTATTGAAAATGTATTCAAAATGTGTTTTTATATTTGAAGCTTAGTAACTGTTCATGTTTGATAGTTCTCATCTTTACCCATTACCTTGTTACATTTGCATCTAAAACAAACTCCTAAACATTTGGCACTATCGTTGCATTAATGTAGTAGCTTTTTTTATTTAGGGAATAGGCCTACAATTGCACAAGTTATATTACCAAGATTTTGCAAAACAAACTGTGCATGAAATGTTCCAGTTTTGATTTGATTTGCCATTTAAATTCATTTCGCAATAACACATTAGTGCACTCTCAAACAGTGTAAAATCTGAAAAGCCATAGGGTCAAGAATGGTACCGTAACAGATGCAGAGCAAAAATTCACAAGCTGAAATATTCATGGGGTGAGACACATTTGAAACAACTGCAATCCCCTGTTGGACAATTGGACACGAACAACGACATCTGCGTCAAAGGAGAACAAAAAAAGTAGATAGACGGGTCTTACAGTGGAGACAGTGGCCGAATGACAAGGAGAATCAGTAAGGTCATCTTGTCAAATAAAAAGTAGAAATGTTGCCTTTGTGTCTTTAAGGAAATAAGACAGCAAAACAAGAAAGGAAGGGAAAGAAGTGATGTAAATAATGTACATTATAATCTAAAATGTCAACATCTGGAGAGTGTTTTAGATGCACTTGAAGGGAAGTAAGAGTTCGATTAAAACCAAAGAAATGTGTGTTAGGTGCACTTTGACATGATGATCTAGGGGAGATCAGAATTAT